CCCCTAAATGACTGGGTTGTTGTCATTAAGTGCTGTCAAGTTGGTTCCAACCCATAGCGACCCTGTATATGGTTTCCAAGGAGCAGCTGGTAACCTTGAACTACCGACCTTGCAGTTCAATCAGCTTTGCAGTCTGGCGCATTAACCCACAGTGCCACACCAGGACTCCTAGGACTATGCAAATATAAGGTGGTAGGAACATGCAAATAAGGTGAATAGAACCATAAGGAATGGTCATTTTGCAATCCCACTAGGCTTAAAATTAGTCATCTCAGAGGTGAAAAGAAGGATATCACTGCCATCAAGAAAGAAGAGTCAAGAATGTAGCACATCTTTGGGGACCATCAAGGGAGAAGAGCAGAGTGCAGGACCCTACCCAGAGAAACAGTGACGCCAGAGATGGAGGCAGAGACGATGACATGGAGAGATGGAGCGGCTGGGAACTCTACCCAGAGAGGGAGAGTGGCTGTGTGTTGACAACCAGGGGACAGGCTTGTAGGGTGTACCCTTTGGTTGGTTGATGATACATGGAGGGGATTGTCACCATGGCAATGAAACAATATATGATAAGATGAATGTAAAGCTAATGTTTTCCCATGTAAACTATGACATAATTCACAATAAAATAATTTTTTTTAAAAAAAGGAATGGAGCACATCTTTGGACCCAAGATCTCTTCACTTAACCTCCAGAAGACAGAGCGATGTGACACCAGAGATGACAAGAGGCCATAGCAGAGAACCAGGAGACTGACAGGAGACAGAGTAGTATGCTTCCTGGCCCATGGCACGAGAAAGCTGCGTGTCTTTGGGCAGGAGGCTTGCTGGCTGAGTGGTATACCCCATGACACTTGTCTGGGGAGCTATGTTTCTCTAACCATAGGGTTAAAGCAGAGCACCTTCAGGCAAAGCTAAAGGAGCTTTGTAACAATTGCCTAGGCAGGGCAGAGGCAAAGAAGTCATGGAGCCTGGGATTGCCAGTGGACATTGCTGTAAAGAGGCTGTCCTGATAAAAGAATTGTTCCTGAGCATTTCTGATCCTGAACTGTAACCAGTTACTTCCCTAATAAACCCCATTAACTGTGAGTACTGTGTATGAGTTTTGTGTGGTCATTGCAACAAATTATCAAACAGAGAGGTAGAAAAATGCATGGGAGGGATGAATAATGTAAGATTTGGTAAAAAGGTTGGAGGATGGAGGCATGTCTGACCATGCTCACCTCACAGGAATCAGTGTAGGCTGATACTACTGGTGATTTTCTTCTTCCCTCTTTGTAAAGTTAGAGGTCAGATGCTGCCCTGCATCATTCTTACAAGGACTAACTTTTTGGAGTGCTGTCAAGTTGGCTCCTACTCATAGTGACCCTTTATAAGGTTTCTGAGGAGCAGCTGGTGGGTTTAAACCACGACTTTGTGGTTGGCAGTCTAGTGTTCATCCTACAAAGCCATTCCAGGACTCCTAACTCTACACAAAGGTGACCTCATCTACCCTGAGACCAGAAAAATCTAGATGGTAAAAGGTTATCACTACTGAATGTTCCGATCAGGGATCAGGGCCACAACAAATGGAGCCCAATACAACAGAAGAAAAATGTAGAACAGAACTCAAATTCTTAACATATCCAAACTTAATGCTCCAGTTAAGACTAGAGGACTCTGTGAAAATATCGCCCTATGACAGTCTTTAAACTTTAAGTCAAAACTCTCTCTTTTAACTAAACTAACAGATTGTCTCATAAAATAAAGACTATCACCTGTGAGCAATGAGTTCCTTTAAAAAGTATCTTTGTCAAGACCAAAGCGTCAAAAATTCCATCAAAGATGAGACGGTAAGGTATGGGAAACTGTGAATACTAGAAATGGTATAAACTGCAGAATGAATGAGAATGACACATTGTGGAAAATGTAGCCACTATCAATGAATGATTTCTATTGAAATTGTTAAATGAAAACCAAATTTGCTATGTAAACTTTCACCTTCCAAAAAACCCAAGACAAATCCACTATCATTGAGTCGATTCCAACTCACAGCAACCCTATACTATACAGTGTTTCTGAGACTACAAGTCTCTATGGTAGCAGAAAGCTTTATCATCTTTTTCCTGTAGAGCAACTAGAGGGTTTGAATCACTAACTGCAGTTAGTAGACCAGTGCTTATCCTACAGTGTCACACCAGGGCTCCTTAAACTTTAAGCACATTTAAAAAAAAAATTTTTAAATGAATGTCTGATGGAAATAATTTCCAGTTAAGAATTCAAACCAGTAGCCTAGAAACAAAAACTAAACATAGTATAAACTTTGGTACATATACACAATGGAATACTTCACAAGGCTGAAGAATCATAGCATGGGTGAACCTGGAGGACATTATGTGAGTGAAACTGGTCAATCACAAACGGACAAATATGGTATGAGATTACTATTGTAAAAAGTTAAACAACGTCTTCTGGATAAAAGAAACATTCTATGATGGTTACCATGGATAAGAGGGAAGGGAAAACTATTCACTGGGTAGAAATCGGGTGGAGAAAGTACGGTCCATGAAATCATGTGGTCTAGCCCTGCCATTCCAAGACAACCACAGTTCCAGCCACCACATTAGGGGTGAGTCAATTTAATGTCTGACTAAATATAGCAGGCTAATTTTTAAGGTAATAATTTTGTATGGCTTTCAAATGATGTTACAAATTTTGATACAAAAATGGTTCTCCAATTTTGCCAAAGTCAACCCTGCTATGAAAAACATCCTAAAGGAAGTTCTGTGGACTGAGAACCAGCAAGAACACATAACAACTACAAAATGATGTACATGGGAGCATTAACCTGAA